CAAAGTTTAATAAAGTTTTGAGGTTTTACAATTACTTCTGGGGGCAGAGTTGCAATGACATGCGCACTGCGTTGCCCTAGCGCCAATTTTTAAACAGAAAAGGCGGACAGGGATACAGGGCCAACATTACCAGTAATCAAAGATGTACCCGTTACATTTAAATCGAATGTCTGGGCTAATTTCGGTTTTGGGATCCTGGATGTGAAAGAATCACGTAACACAGTATTTGTTTACTATTTTTAAGTTCAGTAATATTCTATCTTAAAGCTGCTCTACCGAAAACATTATTTCTTATATTATTTAAGTAATTATAGGCAGCACACTTTAAAAATTATTGTGAATAGATGAATGTTCTGTTTTTCAGGGATTTCAAAATCAAAAAGAAATTGAAAACTATTCTACTGCTTTTATTAAGTAATGAAAATTTTTGTGTGAAGAATCGTGATGCATTTCAGACTCAAATCGAACCTTTAGGCAGATAATCAGAATCGGATTGAATCGTGAGGCAGGTATGCATGTATGTATGTATGTATGTATGTATGTATGCATGTATGTATGTATGTATGTATGTATGTATGTATGTATGTATGTATGTATGTATGTATGTATGTCTGATCTCAGAATTGTGTGTACTGAAACTAATTTCTAGGATTAATAAAGTACTTTTGAATTGAATTGTTTCTGGTATATTTTCAAACTGGGATTTTTGTCAATTTTAGCTTTCAGGGTCCATAACATCTGATTAAACAAAAGGGATTATTCTTACTCCAAAGACGATCACTTATTCAACTCTCTCAGTGACGTTTTCTGAAATACTACAATCAGAGATGCACCAGTGTTTGCAGAATCCGAGTCCCGGATGGTGAGGCAGCCAGCGTTTACCTGTCAGTACTCACACCTCCCCCTGTTTCCACGGCAACTCTACATGGTCCATAAAGACTGAAAGACATGTTGGATGCCAAGGTCAAACAGAAAGGTCAGAGTAAAGGGACAAAAGTAAGATCCAGTTCATATCCACAGAATCAGTGACATCACAGTTTAGGTGCATTCAGGGAAGCTGGGACAATCACGGATGTCTTTAGAGGTCAAAGGGTCAACAGAGGCTATGAGAGGGATGAGAAGATGAGCAGGTAGAAGATGCAGTGCCTCCAGATGAGAAGTCTCAGTTTGAAAGAGGAACCACATGATTTATGAAAAAAAAAAAAAAAACCAGCATGAAGGAGTTTTTATCCGCTCAGCGACAGAGGATTTCTTTTGAAAATTAGTTTTTGCTTTTTTCTCTGTCAGCCGCTGATTTGTAGCCCTCTTATTCATGGACGAGAACCAAGTGGTTTGCAGAAGTCATGCAAAATATTCATGCTGGTAAACAAAGTTATTGTCATTTCCATCTGGGGATCTTCAGCTAGGTCCGTTCTACCGGGGGGGGGGGGGGGGGGGGGGGGGGGGGGCTCTGTCCACCATGTGTCTGTCCACCATGTCTGTCCACTATGTGTCTGTCCGCCATGTGTCTGTCCACCATGTCTGTCCACTACGTGTCTGTCCACCATGTCTGTCCACTATGTGTCTGTCCGCCATGTTTCTGTCCACCATGTCTGTCCACTACGTGTCTGTCCACCATGTCTGTCCACTATGTGTCTGTCCGCCATGTTTCTGTCCACCATGTCTGTCCACTACGTGTCTGTCCACCATGTCTGTCCACCATGTCTGTCCACTACGTGTCTGTCCACCATGTGTCTGTCCACCATGTGTCTGTCCACCATGTCTGTCCACTACGTGCCTGTCCACCATGTCTGTCCACTACGTGTCTGTCCACCATGTGTCTGTCCACCATGTCTGTCCACTACGTGTCTGTCCACCATGTCTGTCCACTACGTGTCTGTCCACCATGTGTCTGTCCACCATGTCTGTCCACTATGTGTCTGTCCACCATGTGTCTGTCCACCATGTCTGTCCACTACATGTCTGTCCACCATGTCTGTCTGGTAGGTTGAAAGTTGTAGGAGTTGTCCATGGGTGTTGTGATTGATCAGCGGAGCGTTTATCGTTCTGAACCTTGGAGGACAGTTAATGAGCAGGTTTCAGTCACATGATTTATGGCTTGTATTTCTGATATGTTTGATCGGCTTCAGCCTGCTGGGGCTCAGCAGAGGTGCACAGGCAGAAATGCTGAATCTTCTTTGGTGGAAAAGGACACATCAGCACCAGCAGGACACGTCCCCACCAGGGCTGCATCTATGGATCTTTTTCTGGGAACCAGCAGTTATAGATGATGGTGCTTCATGTCTCTGTTCTGTTGGTGTCTGAAGCCTCTCATGTCCCTGTCTCTTGTCCTCACAATGGCTTCATGCTTTTTATCCTGGTTGGTTGGGGGTTGAAGAACATTCAGTCGGCGTGAGTCGGTCTCTTCTGTTTCAGGTTCTGCTCGGCAAACGTTTGGTGGAAGTTAAGTAGGAGAGTTTAGGGGCTCCTCTCCAGTGGGAGTACAGTTAGAAGCTCAGAACTGCAAGGGAATAAATAAACAGATTTAGTCAGAACCTGAAGTAAATAAGGGACATGTTTCAGACACCAGACCATGACGTAGACTACAGCATGTCCTGATCCAATTAAAATGAAGGCGGTGAGCTGTTTTTGATTGTGTGAGAACCTGATTGTTTGTTGGGTCTGGTTTGGTGCAGATGGTCAGTAGAGGGATGAAGGTGGGTAAAAGAATGTTTCTTTGCTGTTCGTTTCTTTTGTCTGACGTGGAGTTGAGAGCACCAGCTGTTTCTGTTTCTATTGGTTTTCCTTCACTTGTTACGACAGTCTGGGATCATTTGCTTTCAAAATTATTTCACCCGAATTAATTAACCTTTATTGTGACAACAAGCTAAAAGCAGGAAATACAGAAATATAAAACACTGGTGTGTTTCTCTTCTAAGCAGCTGCGGTCCAGGTCACCATTCGCCAAGATGTTTAGTTTGTGAAGGGTTCGTGAAGCCCTGTGCTGGTCTGATCTACCTGTCAGCACAATGTGTTTAAAGTGTGATGAGCTTCTAAAAAATAACATGCCATGTGTTGCTCTAAGCCAGGGGTTGTTTGTCCTGGTCCTGGAAGGCCGGTATCCAGCAGGTTTCAGTTGTTCCTCTGTTCACACACACTTGATTCAGGGGTTTGTTTCACCTATTCAGCAGCACATGAAGCTCTGCACATGCCTGTTATCACCAGGGGTCTCATTTATCAAACGTTACGTAGAATCCCTACTAAAACCGTATTTAAGCTCAGCAAAAAAAATGTACTTACGCCAAGCAGGTTTGTGATCTATCAAACATGGAGGATGCACATCTGCACGCAATCTCCGCTTCATAAATCAGAGACTAACGAGAATGATTCTCAGCTGCATTTTAGTCACATCCCGCCCTCACCACGCCCACTTACTGCCATAAATGGTCAATGCAAAGAGCCTTGTGGACCTCATGCATATACATAAGCCGGCTGTTGCAGCGCTCCGTCAATGACTTGGCGACCGTAGATCAAGGCAGATCAAGGAAGCGCCATTTCACAGAAGCAGAAGTTGAGGTACTTGTAGGTGAGGTGGAGAAATGAAAGGAAGTGCTTTTGCAAAACAAATAAGAGAAAATCCACGGAGCGGCACAGCGTTGCTGAAGCCGTCAATGTTGTGAGTTCTTCAGAGAGATCTGTGGCGATGGTGGCACAGGAGTTAAGTGCTCGCCCCGTAATCAGAAGGTTGCAGGTTTGAGCCCCGCTCAGTCTGTTGTGTCCTTGAGCAAGACAATTAACCCACGTTGCCTGCTGGTGATGGTCGGAGGGACCGGTGGCGCCAGTGCTTGGCAGCCTCGCCTCTGTCAGTGCGCCCCAGGGCAGCTGTGGCTACATTGTAGCTCATCCCCACCAGGGTGTGAATGGGTGAATGACTGGTTGTGTTGTAAAGCACCTTGGGGGGTTCCAGAACTCAAATACTATTTACCATTTTATCAAATACAGGATATGAAAAAAATGGCCCAATCAGGATTCGATCCCCAGACTCCCGGGTGAAAGTCACGCGCGCTAACCAGTACGCCAAACAGAGATCTCCCTTGTCCAAGTAGCCAGGGCGCATGATCAATCGGGTCACAGTGACAGGACACACACCGTCACAGACGCATGACATTCTGTCTCAATCTGTCCCCCTGCTGATATTCTGCATTCCATATTCTGGAGTGTGTGTGTGTGTGTGCGTGCGTGTGTGTGTGTGTGTGCGTGCGAGGGGTCTTGTTCTGTGTGAAAACGAAGCGGTACAAGTGATGATGCTGCAGGATTTCGTAATTGTATCTTCTCAGCAGCAGCACTGCAGGTGCTCTCCATGTCCAGCATGTGTGTAAGCCAGGTCCTTAGTCAACTTAAAGTTGCGCACATTTTTCCGCCAAGTTTTCTTTCATAAATCCCAAAGTTTGTGTGGAAAGTTGCTTACGCAGTTTTCCGACCCTGTTTTGTGTGTAAGCTAGCTTGATGAATGAGCCCCTGGAGATTAAAACTCGTGTTTTGAAGCAGAGAAACATCCAAAACACGCTGGAAACCGGTCTTCCAGGACCAGGACTGAGAACCCCCTAATCTGTAGGTGATGTTTTATCCACACATTGGATGTAAACTGATGACCCTGAACAGCTGGTGCAGCCTCGTCCTGATCGAAGCCACTGACTGGATTTCTGAGTCAGCACATTTCAGCAGAAACAACGAGCAAAGCTAACATTTATTTTTGCCACCATTACAGAAAGCTTGTGTTCTCGTTTCCTCTGGTGAGGGACATTAAACACTTCTATGTGAGCCTTTTTGCCAAAAGCATCAACTCTGGACAGAATCATTTTCAAATGTTTTAAAACTTTTTCCGTTCTGGCGTTTCCATGGTTACGAAAACATCCTTCAGGTTTTCTGTGCAGGTAAAAGACACAAGTGGCTCCAGAGGCTGATCTGGTAATGTGGTACAGGAGAGTCCTCTTTGTTGGTACTCCTCTCATTGCAGACAGGAGGAATGATCTCCATCAGTGTAACACACACACACACACACACACACACACACACACACACACACACACACACACACACACACAACAGCTACACATTAAAACACAAGTCTTTAACGAGTCTTTGTTCTGATATATGGTGTTTCAGTGCCTGATCTGTGTTCTCCACCTTCGACCTCCTCTGGAGTGTAATGAAGGGTCTGAATGATGCAGACGGCAGCAGCAGCAGGTCCGTTTACAGGAAGCAGGTGTCAGAGCCACTGCACCCACTTCTGTAGGGGGACAAACTAAAGCTCAGGCTCTTCTAACTGATTCAGCAACACCAGACATCAAACGTTGGTGTGACGGGATGAGTACATAGATCAGACTGGAGCAGCTGTAGGGGCCACACAGTGTGCACAGAAACTACTGAATTCTGGCTTGATTTGGCATCAGAGGAAACCTTTTCTGCATGTCCAGATCTAGTTTTAGTTCCACCTTTAGCTGTTTTTGTCAAAATCCTGAAACTGAGTGGAAACCAGAGTGATACCATGAAAACTGGCAGAAGATGCTGAAGGCAAAGAGGCCGTTGGGATGATGTTTGTAGAGATCAAATGTATATTTGGACTTTACTGCAGTTCACAACACAAACCATCTCCTGCTTTAAAAGAACGTAAAACTGCAAAGGCAGACATCATCTGTGTTTTTCAGAAGTTTTAGTCTGAAGTAGTTTGTAGAGATGAAAGTTAACCAAAACCTAAGAAAAAGGTCAAATATTCACCACAGCAAAAAGAAACACATCATCACAAAGCTCACTTAGAAGAACCATGCACTAAAACACACAATGCTTCCCTCTGTCTGTGTAACACACACACACACACACACACACACACACACGCATGGTTCACCAGCAGGAGGCCTCGTGGAAGAGGCTGGGGTGGAATTTTAGATCAGAATCAGATTCGGGCTGTGGCCTCTGACTTGGTGTCTCCAGGAGCTTAAATATGGCACAAACACGAGGCCTTTCCTTTTTAAACATTTCAAATCGGGGGTGGGGGTGGTGGTGGGTGGGGGGTGGGGTTGGGGGCTGTCAGTCCGACAGAAGCAACATTCCACAGATCTCCACCGACTGGACTTTTTGGTGCTGAGTGTGTGTTTGCCCAGATGTGGGAAGGACCAAGCTGAAGGAAACATTCGAATCAAACTGTTTGAACCAAACATGGAAGAAACAGAGACGACAAAAAGAGAAAACGCACAAAAACACACAGGAAGTAACAGAAAAGTCACACGGATACACAAAAACAAACACAAGGTGAGGGAGTACAAGACAACAGTACACACAGATCACATTCTTACATGAAGATGAGAAATCTGCTTCTTTTTTCTGTCCTCCTCCAACACATCCCACTTTCCTTTCTTGCCCAGAACATCCCCCTCCTCTTCCTCTTCCTCTTCCTGTGTGTGGCGAGGCTTCGCTGACAGATCACTCAGAAAACATCATTCACATCACAGTCTACTAGTCTCTCTCATTCATTTCCTGGTTTACTTCTGTCCTCCTCTGGGAAATCCACCTTCTCCCTTCATTTGTTTTCATGTGCAAAGAGACTCGAGTCCTTGCTTTGACTTTGGAGAAGTTTCTGTGGGTTCTGAAAGCTTCGGGTTGGAGGAAAGAGGTTAGCGTCTGACACAAAGTTGAAGGGTTGTTATCAGAAACACAGAAAGATTGGAGAGTGACACAAGAAGAGAAGATCTGAAGGCAAAGTATCACGTTTAAATAGCGGAACACAGCATAGGGTACCGACATCACGCTAGAGTTTCACACATTCTGGCAGCGACTGGAAAAACACGGACAAGCAGGAGCAGGGAGGCTCCAAGGAGCCAGAGAACGAGCTGCCTCGGCTGGAGGTAAAAGGAGAAATGGACCCAAGCTGGGCCAAATGCAGAGTTACCAGTTCATACGAGGAGTTCGGGCCAACTTATCAAAGTCTGGACTCTTCGGCACTTTGTAGTTTTGACAGACATCATGAGACTATTCAGATTATTTGTCACATTGCTAAGATGGAACCAACTCTACACGTCTGGACAAATGGGCCTTTTCTTCAGCACCGACTCAGCGTGGCGTGACTCGTCTCCATGGTTTCAAACCATTCCCACCACAACAGGTCTTTCAGCACCATGTTCAACATGGTTCTGAGCATACCGGGCCGCTAAAGACACTGGCTGGTTAGGGGTGGAGCCACTGCTTACGCCTGAGCTGCCTTTTCCAGGTCTTCTCTTTTCAGAGTTCGACCGATAAACAAGGCCACTGCAGAATGCACGTTGCTACCTTGTCCACCATTGTTGTGTTTTATGTCATGTACCAATCCCCTTGCTCTGTGTGAAGTTCACCCCTGACCCCCCAATGTGACTAGCCCACCCTCTAGAGCCATTTCTCAGTTGTGATGAAAAACCAGCTGTACCGTGTAGAGGAGAGACAAGTGGAGCCAGGCTGAGCGGATGCCTCCAGCATGGCTGCAGACGGACC